GCTGGGTGATGGCCAGATGGTTGGCGGTGCTTAGCGAGGGATAATCGGAGACTTTGTGTTTCTTTCCATTTAGGAAATGGACAAGCTGGAGTGATCCATGACTCATGCTGTGGAGAGCACAAGGGAGACTTGTCATTTTTGCCATGTTACATAATTTTACTACTTTTCCATAGACACGTGTAGCCAATGAGAGAAGGAGCTTGCGCTGCTTCCGATGTCAAACATGCGCCTCACTTAAACATGAAGACATGCCCACAAACAGTAGTTTGAGCATTGTTCTAACGTTTTCTAAAACAATGTGGCTCTGTTTGAGCACGTGAGGGAAATGTTTTGGAGAAGATTACCGAAATTAAACCTGTATGGTTCAGGTGCAAAATGCTGGTTTCTACTTCTGCACCTTTTAAATACTATAGGTCTCAACTCTAGTTGCTTGTAGCTGCCAAAATCAAATTAAAGAGAGTCTGTGGCTTAGTTTTGTCTAATTATGTTAGAACTACCTATGAATGCATTGATCATGAGCATCAGAATTTCTCCCGCGTCCCTACAAAGTGCAAGTGGTTTGGAAAAAATGGATGGATTAAAATATTTTTGGGGGAGAGGAAAGCTAATTTGCAGCTGAAAAAAAAAAGACTATTATAAAATTTGCCAGCATTTCACAAATATTTATGAGCTTCATTTTGGAAACAACTCTTTGGCTTGGACCAGGTTTGGCAGGAAAAACTCATAATCAACATTTACTGTCCTGTAAGTTCATGTCCTCTGGATCATAGCGTTTTTTGACTTATTTTTTCTATTGTTTTAGAAAAAAAATGTCAGAAATGTATAGAGCTCTTGTTTATCTTTTACATGCTGGTAAAAATAAGTTCTCTTTGTTTTTTAGAAAGAAACCCACCCACCCTCTACTATCTCTATAGGTTTGCTGCTCATGCCTAGAGAAACCTTGCCCATCATGACTGAATTTTTTTCTGCATCATCGCTTGATGTTAATCTTATTGAAATTAACATTTCAAAGCGCACCCTTGAGTGTTGATTAGCCGTGCTTGTTTGCATTCAGATGCTTCGAGCAGATGAGCATGGTCTATTTAGTCAAGAATCACTATCACTATTACTGTATGCCTCGTTTAGCACCAAATGACTCTGAGATTGGTTGTTTTGGGTGTTGCAAATGGGAGTAAAGTACAACAGGAAATTAAAAGACAGCATGATAAGAAATGCTTGACCTCGGCTGGTTAGAGATGGTTCAACATAAACATATTCGGGGCAATGTTTACTTCCTTAAGATTATATGATAAGCTGTAGAACCATACTTGGGCAGCTATTGAAATTCGGATCATATTTGAGCTCTCCAGGTGTATCAGAACTCCTTGATTCAATCCTTATAAGGTTCCTGATCAGCTGAGAACGGAGTGAGATTGGGTTTCCTCTGGTTGTGAACAGGTGCTGGAGGTTAGAGGTGACACTATGGATACTCTGTACTGGTGCCGTCCCCAACCTTTACAGCACTAGCCACAGGCTAAGAGCCTGAGCTTTTATAAGTCCGAATGTTAAAATGTTCTGCTTCCTGATTATAGTGTGCGTAACTTCATTTATTTGAGTGAAGGCTGATCTAACGATCATGCAACCACGTTTTTAGACTAAATGAAAAAGAAAAAGCAATTTGTTGACTTTCCAGTGTTATAGAATGTTATAGAATACAATGTGTTAATTGTAGGGGTGTGTTCTGTCTGCTCAGATTGATTTGCATTCTACATTAATATTGCAAATGATATTCAGCCCAACAGATCTGAAGAGTATTCAGTTCAGAGTCTTCTTCAGAAGAAGAGCTGAATATAAATCAAACACAATCTCCACCACACTTTGTTCTCATTTACATATGGAGCTCTGAAGTGACAAATTCTCACATGTGCACTCGTGTTTCAAGCCTCTGCCAGTCATATCTGATTACGTTGAGTTTTCGAGTCACAATTTGAATCTTTTTTACGAAATAAAAGTGACTGGAAAAAGTCTTGTGAAAGCTAAAATTAAATCTAATTTGAGGATGTTAAAAAAAGGAAGAATTTCTTTAATTATATTCCAGCTGGCTTGTCTATCTGTTGCCACGGACACATGCAAATCTGACCTCTGGGGCATATCGACCTTTGTCAGCAGGCTGAAGGAGGAAGGCATGTGTTTCTGAGCACTAGTGAACACTTTACAGTGGGAAGACAGCCAGATCGTGTCTATTCTGGGCAACACACACAAAGAGCTGAAATTATTCTTCACTAAATTCTATTAGGTGACCTCAAATTCATTCTCCAGCCTCTTTATGGCTTGTCTTTCGTTTAATGTTAAATAAAGAGGTTTTCTACACTGAAATCCATTACAGTGTGAACGTAAGTATCTCTAATGACTCACATAGGAATAATTGAGGAACAAATAACGATCAGTGAATCACCACTGTTTAGTCATTATGAAGAAATTTCACTTCTGGAAGATCTCTTCTTTTCTTTTTTTTTTAGGTAGAGATTATGTTTATTATGATTGTGTGTAGTTGCTAACTCTCACTGATTACTTGAAGATGGATTTGAAACAGTCTTCAGCTATAGTGAAACCTTTCAAACAAATGCTGGGACTTTTTTCGTGCACCTGGAAGCAAGTCTTGAAATGTATACTGTTATAAAATGGAGTACATCTTTTGTTTTACAGCCTCAGCTAATTATAAAACCATTAAAGTCATTCTGGCTGAGACCAGTCAGAACCTGACAGACTGATAATGCCAAGAAAGAAAAGAGAGAGCGCGATCCTTTATTGCTCTTTTTAGGTCTGCTTTTTTCTAGGTCAAGAATATGTTTTTAAAATGATCATTCTAGGCATACAGTTAATCACATTTTAAATGATACAAGCTCAAACGTTTGGGGGCAGTAAGGTTTTTTCAATGTTTTTGAAAGAAGTCTCACCAAGGATGCATTTATTTGATCAAAAATACAGTAAAAACAGTAATATTGTAAAATATTGTTACAATTTAACATCACACTAACTATGAATAATTATGTTATAATAAAATAAATTACTGATAAAAAAACAGTTTAATGAGTCAAATAAATGATTTTCTCTATGGTGCCGTATACACTGCCAACATCTATCAGTACTGATTATGACAGATTTAGGTTAAGATTGCTGTGATGTCCCACACTGTTGCCCAGAAGTTATTTTCATGGCGTTGGAGCGACGTGAAAGAGGATATTTGAGTTTCCCGGAACTGACACACTGTCTGTCTATTTCCATGGTGATTAAAACAAAAAAAACATTTGAAATGCTGCGTATGGCATATCCTTACCACTCATTCCTACCAGATACACTCAGAAAATTGGTAATTGCAGCAGTCATTAAGAAGTATCTATGCCGTTTTTCCAGAAGGCATTAGAGACAATCAGCGCAACTCTACCCCTCTCCCTTTCTGCTCTCCATATCTGCATCTGTCTGTGTCTGTCCTTGCCTTACACTCCCTCTCAGATCACACACCACGTTCTTAGTTCCTTCGAAAGGTTAGCAGTAAAGCAGTTCTTTATTTAGTAGACTCTCTCATTGGAAACTCAAATTCAGCAGCTTTATTGAGATTGAGATATATAGAGCTCTAGATGAATTCTTCAACCGTTCTTTCAGTCTGTTGCATCATGTCACTGTACTGCCAGCAGTGTTTGTAAAAACGTGCTTAGTGTAATACTGTGTGTGTGTGTGTGTGTGTGTGCGCGCGCAGTCTTTTAACATCTTTAAACACCATAATTAACCATGGATTTTATACAAATGTATCATTATGCAAAACAATAACCAGCTGCTCATTTGAAATTAGCCTTAGTTTAAAGCTAAACCGTAACATATGTTTTGTGTTTGCACTTGTAATAACATTAACAATGGACATGACGTGTTTTTTTTTCTCCATTTGAGTCCCTGCTGTCTCATGCTTTCTTCCTGTGCAATATCCGCACTGATTCATCAGTTAAGTCAGTTATGTGTTTTCAAATGTCCTATGTCAACCTATTTATCTTCTATCCAAAGGACTTGTTGCAAGGAACGTTTTGAGGAATTCAAGTGCCTGTAGGGCAAAAGGAGTGTCCCATTACATGATATGAAGCATAAACCTTGCTTGCCTGAGGTGGGTGTTAATAACTGTATCTTTCACCTATTGGATGACAGGATGAAAGGGGCCTCCTTTTTTCTAACCTAGCTTCTCATTGACCAATCCACTTCTTGTGAGACGGTCCAACACACCCGGGGGTGTGCTGTGCACCACTGTGGGTGGCTCCTCCTAGACTTTGCTGTACATATGCCTCAGTGAGGCATACGGGCACTTCTTTTTTTTTTCTTCTACTTTTAGAGTTCTATTTTTGCTCCCTGTACTTTTGGTGAATGTCTTTGCAAGTGCTTACTTCAAGCCATTCACCACTGTTAAGAGTCTGCCGACGGTGCAGTTTGATTCTAACAGTTTCTTCCTTGCTCGACTAAGGTGGGAGGAGCCGATGGGATCATAGTACTCTCCCTCTTTCTCTCTTTTACACACACCACCTCTCATTGCAGCTCTGCCAGTCCAGACTATGCTCACTTCCAAGGAAGGCTGAGTAAAGGAGAGCACAGTTTTCCTTTTCTACGTTTTTCCTTTGCATCTGAGAAAGTTTAAGAAAGAAGAAACTCTTTTGATTAGGAGGGAAGTTAGCTAAACAACTGCGTACAAACACAGAATAGCAGGTTGCATTTACTTTAGCGTCTTTTTTGATTGAATCAGTTTTCCTTTTCTACGTTTTTCCTTTGCATCTGAGAAAGTTTGAGAAGAAAGAAGAAACTGTTTTGATTAGGAGGGAAGTTAGCTAAACAACTGCGTACAAACACAGAATAGCAGGTTGCATTTACTTTAGCGTCTTTTTTGATTGAATTGATAGCACGTGGCAGCAGGCTCTGCCACAGGACTCTGGAGAGTGAGGTCATTCAGTGACTTGTTCTTCTTTGGCAAAGCTGTTCCTGTTTATTCAGACGCTGCACGACTAAGGAAGCACAATGGTTGCGGGAATGGTAATGCCCCTGGACAACCTGAAGGCCATCTATGAGCATCTGTTTCGGGATGGCATCATGGTGGCCAAGAAAGACAAGCGGCCTCAGACCAAGCACCCTGAGATTCCTAGTGTGGATAACCTGCAGGTGATAAGAGCCATGGGCTCGCTGAAGTCCAGGGGGTATGTGAGGGAGACCTTTGCATGGAGGCATTACTACTGGTACCTTACTAACGAAGGGATTGTCTACCTGCGTGATTACCTGCATTTGCCTCCAGAGATAGTTCCCACGCCTCTGCAGAGAGTACGACGGCCAGCTGCCACTCTGGCCATCACTCGCAGGGCAGAACACGTTCAAGCTGTTCAGGGTCCAACTTCTTATGTTCCCAACCCCGGCAAGATGGGTGCAGAAAAGCAGGAGGCTTTGCTTGATCGACAGGAGTACCGTCGCAAAATGGCGAGCATGGATGAGGCTGAAATGATTGAATCCAGGGAGAGAACACCAAGATTTAGAGGTCGTCCAATGGCTAGCACTCAGATCAAACCCAAAGGATCATGGGAATTCAACGAGCAGCCCATGCTTTCTGATACTCGCGATTACACCAAAGAGATGGAACCAAGTGTGAGGAGGAAGGTCGCTGTGCATTCGGTCTGCCATTTGCCTCCAATTGAAACTTACCATGCCAAGCCAGTTGAACAGGAAAAGATGGTGGAACGCAAAGAATGCACTAAGACGGCATTCGTTCAGAAAACACAAATGGTTAATGTGAGCCCAGATGTGGCTACCATTTCTTCAAAAGTGGGTGGAACAGCAGCGGAATCAACATTCACAGCAACTGGCGAGAGCAAAATGGCTAAGGATGCTCGTCATCCTCCTCCCTCAAAACCGAAGTTGGAGAAAAAACAAAAAGCTCTTGTGACGAAAAATGTGCAGGATGTGCCAGCTGTTTCATCAGTGGAGAGAACAATTGCAGTGGAATCCTCTCTATATTCTGTTCATACTAAAGCAGTCAAAGAAAAGCCCAAGGAAGAGGTATTCAAGGTCGTCCAGCAAACTACATCCACTGTAACAGCTAAAGATGCTCCTCGACCTACTCCTTCAAAACCAAAGGTGGAGGAAACACAGAAAACTACTGTGGCCAAAAATGTGCAGGGTGTCTCATCAACAGCAGGTGCAACATCAGGCGAATCCTCTGTGTCATCTGTTCCTGCTGAAGCAGCAAAAGAAAAGCCCAGAGAAGAGGTGTTTATTAAGGTCTCTAAGAAAACCACATGCACAGTAGCAGATAATAGCAAAATGGCTGAAGATGCTCTTCATCCTACTCCAGCAGAACTGAAGGTGGAGAAAACACCGCAATCCTTGATGTCAAAAGATGTGTCAGCTGTTTCATCAGCAGGGGAATCCTCTGTCTCTACTGAAAAAGTCAAAGAAAAGCCCAAGGAAGAAGTGCGTGTCAGTGTCTCCCAGGAAACCACACCAAAAAGTGATAGCAAAATTGATAAGGATGCTACTCGTCCTACACAGTCAAAATCAAAGGTGGAGAAAACACAGCAAGCCCCTGCGACTGAAAATGTACAGGATGTGCCAATTGTTTCATCAGCAGTAGAGACAACTGCAGTGAAATCCTCTGTCTCTACTGAAGCAGTCAAAGAAAAGACCAAGGAAGAAGTGTATATCAAGGTCTCTCAAACCACATCCACAGGTGATAGCAAAAGAGATAAGGATGCTCTTCATCTCACTGCATCAAAAACAAAAGTGGAGAAAACCACAAAGACCAAAAATGTGCAGGATATATCAAACGTTTCGTCAACAGCAGTGGAATCCTCTGTATTTCCTGTCTCTGCTGAAGCAGTCAAAGAAAAGCCCACAGAAGAGGTGTTTATGAAAGTCTCCCAGGAAACCACATTCGCAGTAACTGGCGATAGCAAAATGGTTAAGGATGCTCCTCATCCTACTCTATCAAAACCGAAGGTGGAGAAAACACAGAAAACTAGAAATGTGCAGGATGTGCCAGCTGTTTCATCAGTAGTAGAGACAACTGCAGTGAAATCCTCCACCTCTACTGAAACAGACAAAGAAAAGCCCAAGGAACAAATGTGTGTCAGTGTCTCTCAAGAAATAACATCCAAAGATGATAGCAAAGAGGATAAGAATGCTCCTCACCCTACTCCATCAAAACCAAAAGTGGAAAAAATGCAGAAAACCACAAAGAACAAAAATGTGCAGGATATACAAACCGTTTTGTCAAGAGTAGAGGCAACAGCAATGGAATCCTCTGTATTGTCTGTCTCTACTGAAGCAGTAAAAGAAAAGCCAAAGGAAGAATTGCGCATTAATGTCTCTGTAGAAACCACATCAACAAGTGATAGCAAAACACCTAAGGATGCTCCTCATTCTTCTCCATCAAAACCAAAATTGGAGAAAATGCAGAAAACCATGCTGAGCAAAAATGTGCAAGAACAACCAAATGAGACCTACATTGCTGTTCATGCCGATGAGACGAAGTCATCTACCTCCATTAGCGCCCAGGTGTCTGTCAAATCTGTAGAATCAGCAATGCCACTTCTGTCTAAGAAGGACGAAGATTTGGCAATACACATTGCTGAAAAGAAATCAGAGATTAATCTGCCACTGCACACTCCTGAGCTTTCTGTAGAGGAGACAGCAGTGCCGCCCATAGCATCTAGCACTGTTCAAATGATTGACAAACAGCAGAGAGCACTTGGTTCCCAAAAAACAAAGGAAGTCCAAGAAGCATCTAAAGATGACAACACTAGTCCATTGAAAGTTAATGAAAAGGTGGAGATTCCTTGTGCCATTTCTGCTGCTGGGGTCAAGACAGAGGTTAAAGGTCACAGGCCTGATGTCAGCCCTGAAACTCAGTCCCCATCTACAGGTGCTGAAATAAAGATTTCCATAGCTGACTCCAGCAAGACTTCGCAAGTAGTTGTGCAAACGCCTAAGAAAAAATTGGATTCTAATACAGATTCTGATTCTGTTAAACAAAAGCCATCACCAGCAAACCTGACTGAGGAACCTGTAATCACTACAGCTGCAAAAGACGGAGATACAGAGGATGCCCCAAAGCCTTCGAAAGGAAAGAAGAAAAAGCAGAAATCTGCAAGCAAAACTTCAGCCGTAAAACCAGTCCCACCTCCTATAGCTGAGACAAAGGTGATAGAGGTAAAGGCAGAGAATACTGGTCAGGTTGACCTTCTTAAGGTTGAGGGCCCTGAGCAAGTTGCAACAAATGATTCTGCAAAGACATCCCCTGAAGGAATGCACGCTGTGGAGAGCATGCAGCCAACAGCTGTACAGAATGAGGCCCCGGCTCACAAAGGGGAGGTGGAGCCTGCGCAGCCCTTGCCTGAAAAACGGGAGGTTCTGAAAGGAAAAACATCCTCCTCGCAGAGACAGTGGGAAGCACCAGCAGCCTCAGCGTCAGCAGCAGCAGCCTCGGCCCAGCTCAGCCCCCTTCCCGAGCAGGGGGAACCTCCCAGCGTTGCACAACACACGCCTGCTCCTGACACACAGCAGAGCACAGAGAAGCAGAGCAGGCTCTCGGATAGCAAGGGCCCTGCACAGCCTGTCATCACTGGACCTCTTCCTGCCGACGAGAATACCTGCGACGCGCAAGAGCAGTCCGTAGACGACGCCATGCGGAAGAAGATTGTTGTGGTAGAGGAAGTGATTGAAGTGCAACAGATTGCCAGTCCTGTTGCAGACCAACCTGTTACACCCCCAGTGCCAGATATTGCAGGAGATGATTTGGACTATGATGTCTTGGAAGAACTGGCCATAGAGCGTGGCCTCCTGCAGGGTGCCGTTGAAGAGACTTATTTCTGCTGCTGGGGTCAAGACAGAGGTTAAAGGTCACAGGCCTGATGTCAGCCCTGAAACTCAGTCCCCATCTACAGGTGCTGAAATAAAGATTTCCATAGCTGACTCCAGCAAGACTTCGCAAGTAGTTGTGCAAACGCCTAAGAAAAAATTGGATTCTAATACAGATTCTGATTCTGTTAAACAAAAGCCATCACCAGCAAACCTGACTGAGGAACCTGTAATCACTACAGCTGCAAAAGACGGAGATACAGAGGATGCCCCAAAGCCTTCGAAAGGAAAGAAGAAAAAGCAGAAATCTGCAAGCAAAACTTCAGCCGTAAAACCAGTCCCACCTCCTATAGCTGAGACAAAGGTGATAGAGGTAAAGGCAGAGAATACTGGTCAGGTTGACCTTCTTAAGGTTGAGGGCCCTGAGCAAGTTGCAACAAATGATTCTGCAAAGACATCCCCTGAAGGAATGCACGCTGTGGAGAGCGTGCAGCCAACAGCTGTACAGAATGAGGCCCCGGCTCACAAAGGGGAGGTGGAGCCTGCGCAGCCCTTGCCTGAAAAACGGGAGGTTCTGAAAGGAAAAACATCCTCCTCGCAGAGACAGCGGGAAGCACCAGCAGCCTCAGCGTCAGCAGCAGCAGCCTCGGCCCAGCTCAGCCCCCTTCCCGAGCAGGGGGAACCTCCCAGCGTTGCACAACACACGCCTGCTCCTGACACACAGCAGAGCACAGAGAAGCAGAGCAGGCTCTCGGATAGCAAGGGCCCTGCACAGCCTGTCATCACTGGACCTCTTCCTGCCGACGAGAATACCTGCGACGCGCAAGAGCAGTCCGTAGACGACGCCATGCGGAAGAAGATTGTTGTGGTAGAGGAAGTGATTGAAGTGCAACAGATTGCCAGTCCTGTTGCAGACCAACCTGTTACACCCCCAGTGCCAGATATTGCAGGAGATGATTTGGACTATGATGTCTTGGAAGAACTGGCCATAGAGCGTGGCCTCCTGCAGGGTGCCGTTGAAGAGACTTCTTGGGATCATTCGCTCCAAGAGCCAGAGGAAAAAACCTTCCCCAACTTCATAGAAGGTATGAGACCTTTTCAGTTCTACCATTCTGTCTTTCTCTGAAATGCTTTGATTTTGGTAGCACTGCTCCGGTTTCCATCCGTATTTGCTGTGTGGGAGGTTCAAGGTGACTGGTGTAGTGTCGGGATAGTTGTGCTGTTATTAGACGGTTGGGCATGATTTGCTTGAGAGGCGTGTAACTTTATATGCATGTTGAGTGAATGGTGCCAGAGTTTTATGTTAAGTGAATTAAGCATTAGTAAGTAGGTTTATAAGTTTTGCAGGTTGTGCAGAGAAGCGTATACTGCAGTGCAGGACAATTAATATAACATTAACTTGTATCAAAAGCCGTGGACTGTGTTTTTTCAAAACATGTTTTGTCTATGCAACAATGTGCAAATCTTTTATTAGTTATATTTTTCAGTTTGTCCTGCTTTCCACAAGCACAAATCTGGGCATATTTGTTTCCAGTTATTTCGAGAAATTAACCTCTCACAGTGATTCACGACACATCCACACCCAAAACATCAAATTATGCGTGCAATGTTTTGCAACCACCCTTTTGCTCTGTAGCATATTGGGACTAGCTAGTGATTTTGTTGCAAGTTTTCATTCTTCAAGGGGAATACCAGACTGCTGGTAATGAGCAGTTAAGCAGCACTTGTGTTTCTGACAATACAATAATGTTTGGAGTCAGTTCTCTCTGCTGCCAAACTCAACCCACAGCTATAGTTTTTCTGTTCTCTGAATAGAACAAGAGCTCTTCTAAAACTAAATGCTGTGCTTAGAGGACCCTGTGTGCCACTTCTGCAGGAAGCACGTGTATTTGGTTATTTCCTATGGTTTGTTACCCCTTGTCTCTGGTTTCCAGTGGTCAACAATTAGCTGGAGACTTCTGCTTTGTCACTTTGTGTATTATGCAGTGGGGCATACCATAGATAAAGTTGTCCATCCCAAATTCCACCATTGTCTTCCTTCCCTAGTGCAACAGAGATCTCTGGAATGTGTGTTGCAGTTGCTTTTGTTGTATAGCTGTGCATTTCAGTTTATGCTGGTAGAAATTCAAAGACATTTAAAGGAACTATTGATTAGTGCTTCATATTGTACACTGGAGCGATCCACTATTTGTAGAGTTAGTGAATCATGGGTCTATGCTTTAAGAAATGACAGCAACTAGTTAAATAGTTTGCACAATCTAATGGGTGTGTTTAGTAGGTGTATCACAGAGGAAAGCTCCAAAAACAATTAGCCTTGTGTTTGAAGGTTTTTGTTAGTCACTTCAGCATGACAGGTCTAGTTCCCATAGTAGACTAGACTGTCTATTCCCATAGTTCCCAACCAAACGCAATTGGATTTGAAGAGAAAAAATAATTTATACAATATTTTGCTCTGACTGAGTCAGAGTCAGATGTGTTTGAGGTTACATCTCTGTAATTTTCTGCTGCCCCCTACTGTATCTCTACAGATCTGTCTATAGAAAAAAAACCTCTGTATTACCTTCAGCAGGTCTTTTCGATACAAGTTCATTCATGTGTTTTTAAGTAATTTTAGCCTACAGCTAGGAAGAAAATTATTTTTTTGTACCTAGTACCTTTTTGTTCTTCAGTAATGGCGTAGAAGCAATACTTTAATCATTAGTAATATTTGAGTAATTCGCTGGACATGCATGAGCAGAAGTCTGAGCTCTCCATTTGCACTGTTCTCTGTTCTGTGTTGTGCAAGTGTGTGTTTCTGTCCGCCTCCACCATAAATTCCTGCATGCTTGTGATGTTGTGACAGGCGCTCTCTGATGTTCTCAATGCCACATGATTGTGATGCAGTTCATGAGTCATGCAGTCAGTTCAGAGGAGCCAAATGAATCTGACCTTTAAGAAGTCTTATCGGACACATTCTACCAGTGTCTGGTGCTGTGACTTCTATAACTGGCACTTCACCTCTTGTGAAGGGAGACCTTTTGCAGAGACCGCTCTATATTCTTGGTAAAGATGAAGGCTAGTAATCGTTCTTTTGACTCCAGTGAATTTTTCCTCAGAGTACACTCTTAAAAATAAAGGACCTTCAATAGGTTCTTCACAGCGATGCCATAGAAGAACCATTTTTGGTTCCACAAAGAACCATTCAGTCAATGGTTCTTTAAAGAACCATCTCTTTCTCACCTTTTTATAACCTGAAGAACCTTCTTGGTAAAGATGAAGGCTAGTAATCGTTCTTTTGACTCCAGTGCATTTTTCCTCAGAGTACACTCTTAAAAACAAAGCAATAAATAAATACAGCGATGCCATAGAAGAACCATTTTTGGTTCCACAAAGAACCATTCAGTCAATGGTTCTTTAAAGAACCGTCTCTGTCTTAACTTTTTATAATCTGAAGAACCTTCTTTCTCCACAAAGAACCTTTTGTGAAACAGAAAGGTTCTTCAGATGTTAAAGGTTCTTTATGGAACCATTTAGACAAAAAGGTTCTTCTATGGCATCGTGAAGCACCTTTATTTTTAAGAGTGTAAGGTAATATTTAAAAGTCAGTTTCTGTTTAGACAGAAAAATTTTCATGCTTTCACTCAATCTCAAAAGTTTACAATTTCATTGTTTACTTGTTACTTAGTAGCTTTTTTTTAAATATGCTATTGTATTTTTTTAATGCATAAAGTCTGTAACGTTCTAAAACCTGGTTAACATACAACACAACATCACTGCTAAAGGATCCACGTGTTTATTTTTAAGAGTGTAGGGTAATATTTAAAAGTCAGTTTCTGTTTAGACAGAAAAATTATCACGCTTTCACTCAATCTCAAAAGTTTACAATTTCATTGTTCACTTGTTACTTAATAGCTTTTTTTTAAATATGATATTGTATTTTTTTAATGCATAAAGTCTGTAACGTTCTAAAACCTGGTTAACATACAACACAACATCACTGCTAAAGGATCCACGTGTTCTTATTAATCTTGGTTACATTTATAAATATAATAGTATTCAGTGTTAACTCTTAATGTATCAGAATGTAAAAATATGTACTCTTAATGTAGAAAGTGTATTAGAAATTATATTGATTAACTTTTTTAACATTTTCACAGCATTACCCAGTTTTAGTATTTACCCACAACCTTTACCCTCAAAATGTTTTAGTTACTGTTATACCGGGCATAGTTTCATCATTTGACAATGATCTGCTTTCTTGTTTGATATTTATGAGATGTCTATGGATCAGCTACTCTGACACCTGGTAGGATTATGGCCTTATAGCTGTCAGCTAATGTTGACATGCATGCATGTATAAAACGGGTAGCTCTATCTTTATTGGTGTTTTATACTGTTTTACCTAAACCAAGAGATTATGCACTGGCTCGGAGATAATAAACCCATTAAACTATATTAATATGTCAACTTTATGAAATAGGAAATCTAAGTGGGAGATCTGATAAATAACCTACTTTTCACGAACCATGTAATGGTCCCAGACCTAGTCATGCCTCAGTAAACCATCAGTGCTTCTATAGACAGCAATATGTAAAAGATTTATGAGACATTCCTCTGAAATAACAGTTGTTTTGATGTCACAGAGTCTTTTCTGTCGACATCATTCAAAAATACTATTTCAGTCTTTTCAGTCTTAAAATGTAATGTTTAATTCAGTGTTATTTGCCATTTCTTTGTAATTTACTAGTAATTTCTGAGTTAAAAATAATTTCAAAGTAAATCCTACACCACTCTGTTATTTATTTATTTATTTGTTTGTTTGTTTATTTCAGTGTAAACGGGTCTCTGACTTTATAATACTGTCACCTACTGGTGAAGCATCATGGAAAAGATAAATGAGTTACCATGATTTATTTATGCATTTAATTATTTATTTATTGTCTGACACTAAGAGGTCATACCATAATAAACTTCAAAGTAAATCCTACACCACTCTGTTATTTATTTATTTGTTTGTTTGTTTATTTCAGTGTAAATGGGTCTCTGACTTTATAATACTGTCACCTACTGGTGAAGCATCATGGAAAAGATAAATGAGTTACCATGATTTATTTATGCATTTAATTATTTATTTATTGTCTGACACTAAGAGGTCATACCATAATAAACTGAGTAGTATTTGATGTCATGTGATTGGTCAAAAAAAAAAAACTTTCATTAGTCTATCATTTGCATGCTAAATCAAGATGATTCATTTCAGTGCACGTTAGTTTAATAGGAAAGCTGACCCACTAATTTTTAGACCTATTTATAATGTATTAAACAGCCTCAGTGGAGTCAGACTGGGACTGATTACTAGTTTTGATCAGTCAGTGCTCATCTCATTTTCTAAATAGTTCACATGCCAAGTCCTGCAAATTAGACGCCTACAAATACTCCATTTAATCACAGTCATAAGCGCTGTAAACATGTGGGGAAAATGAAATTGACACTCTGTCAACACCGTAATTCACAATGCCATATGCTAATTTCAGTGGATTGCTGTGTAAAACTCTGCTATATTTAGTTTAAGTCTGGCTTCATGGGTGGCCACTAAAGACTCATGATATGGCACAAGAGATTTCCAGTCATGCCAGGAATCCCATTCCATATATAAATAAAAAACATGAACCCTGGCAACCCTGTGCTTTTCCAAGTGCAAAAAGGAGCATACTTAAAAAAAAAAAAAAAAAGTATTTATTATAGAATTAATGTACTTTAAAAGAATATACTTAATTGTGATCTGAATGTAATGTTTTCAGACACTTAATGTTATTTGCAATTAAATTAAAATGTGTTATAGTTTAAATTTATATTAAATGCAATTAGCTGAACTTTAGAGTGTTTTTGACCCACTTAAGTAGGATGTAAGTACATCTTTATATGTAATTTCATAATTAATTCTATTGTCTTTGAAATATGGTTAGTGTTTCTGCTGAATGCACTGACAAACATTTATACTAAACTAAAATATACTTTAATGCCATTTCTATTGAAACTTGTATTAATGATAAAGTTGCAATTAAGTACATTTAAAATATATTAACTTTAAATGATATATTGAATA